GAACGGAGCTGGGAAAGGGGCTGGAGAATTGCTGAGGGAGCTGGGAAGGGACTGGAGAATTCCTGAGGGAGCTGGGAAGGGGCTGGAGAATCCCTGAGGGAGCTGGGAAGGGGCTCAGGCTGGAGCAAAGGAGGCTCAGGGGGAATTTCTGGCTCTGCACAAGTCCCTGGCAGGAGGGGACAGCCGGGGGGGTCGGGCTCTGCTGCCAGGAACAGGAGAGGGAACGACCATGGGAGGTCCACGTTGGATGTTGGGGAGAATTTCTCCATGGAAAGGGTGTCCAGGCCTTGGAAGTGCCCAGGGAGGTTTGGAATGCCCATCCCTGGGGGTGTCCAGGGAGCTTTTGGTCACTGGGCTGGGGGCAAAGTGGGCATCGGGCACGGGTTGGACTCGATGCTCTTGGAGCTCTTTTCCAGCCTCACTGATTCCCTGATCCCACGCTCTGATCCCATCCCATGACCCTGTCCCCTCCTCTCTCCTGGCAGGCAGTGCCCAGGACATGCAGTCACCCTCGGCGGAGGCGCCCCCTCCGCAGCCCCCCAGCCCCGAGCTGAAGGACACGTCCTAACCCCGCCCGGGGGGGACATTTGTGAGCGGCGGAGGAAGGAGGAGGCTGCGGAGCACCAGCCCGGCTTTCCTGGCACGGCCGGAGGCCGCTGGGATTCCCTCGGTGCTGCCGCAGCGAGACCCTGGAGCGTCCCCCGGCCGCGGGGGAGCCGCGCGTGGCGGGGACGTGCGGGGACACGGAGGGGACCTGCCGTGAGCAAGGGCCGGTCCCCAGTCGCGCCCTGCGCCAGGACTCGGGGGGGCGGGAATGCTTTTGCCTCCCCGGGGGGAGGAATCTTTTTCTTCTGGGGGCTTTTGGCGGAGCCGAGCGCTGGGGGGCCCCGGGGGGGACCCTCTCGGCCGCAGGAGCAGCCACGGGTGTTTCTTGCTGAGTGTGGTGTTCACTGTGATGTTTTTGGGTACCTCGTCTCCTTGCCTTTCTTCTGGGTGGCTCGGGAGCCATTCCCGAGTTTGGGGGGAAACACGAGAAAGCACAAAAACCCCGAGAGCCCCCGGCCCCTAACCGAGCCCCCGGGCTGCCGGCACGTCTCTGCGGGGTCCCGCTGAGGAGCAGAGCACCCCAGGGCGCCCCTCGCCCCTGGGGATGGGCTTGCTGGTGATTTTGGGGCGTGGGGAGGGGGCGATGCGGTTTGGAGCACCTCCAGCCCCCCGAGCCGGGTCACCGGGCAGAGCCAGCCGGGTCCTGCGGTGTTTGGGGGTGCGGGAGACACGGAGTGAGGCTTTCCCGGGCCGTGCTCCCCAAATCCTCCGCTCCTGCCAGAGGAACTGCGGGACCCTCCTGCCCGGACACTGAGGGGCTGAGGGAGGGCTCGTCTGCCGGCCCTGGGGGACCCACCCCATCCCTCCACCCATCCCATCCCATCCCATCCCATCCCGTCCCGTCCCGTCCCGTCCCGTCCCGTCCCGTCCCGTCCCATCCCATCCCATCCCATCCCATCCCATCCCATCCCATGGATCCCATCCCATGGCTCCCATCTCATCCCCTCCCCTGGATCCCAT